CCTAATAAAATATATTGATTTATACTTTCCCATTCGTACAATCATTCTGCGTTACAATTCTATTCTAATATTATAAATAGTGTAATACAATCTATACTATATATAAAAACAAAATCCTGAAATTTTATCTTACCGCCCAATTTCTAAAATATCTCTCTTCCTAATTAAATATATTGATTTCTACTTTTCCATTCGTACAATAATTCTGTGCTACAATTCTATTCTAATATTATAAAATAGTGTAATACAATCTATACAATATATAAAAACAAAATCCTGAAATTTTAACTTCCCGTCCAATTCCTAAAAAATCTCTCTTCCTAATAAAATATATTGATTTCTACTTTCCTATTCGTACAATAATTCTGCGTTACAATTCTATTCTAATATTATAAAATAGTGTAATACAATCTATACTATATATAAAAACAAAATCCTGAAATGTTAACTCCCTGCCCAATTCCTAAAAAGTCTCTCTTCCTAGTAAAATATATTGATTTCTACTTTTCCATTCGTACAATAGTTATGCTTTACAATTCTATTCTAATATTATAAAATAGTGTAATACAATCTATACTATATATAAAAACAAAATCCTGAAATTTTAACTTCCCGCCCAATTCCTAAAAAGTCTCTCTTCCTAATAAAATATATTGATTTCTACTTTCCCATTCGTACAATAATTCTGCGTTAAAATTCTATTCTAATATTATAAAATATTGTAATACAATTTATACTATATATAAAAACAAAATCCTGAAATTTTAACTTTCCGCCCAATTCCTAAAAAATATCTCTTCCTAATAAAATATATTGATTTCTACTTTCCCATTCGTACAATAATTCTGCGTTAAAATTCTATTCTAATATTATAAAATAGTGTAATACAATCTATACTATATATAAAAACAAAGTCCTGAAATTTTAACTTCCCGCCCAATTCCTAATAAATCTCTCATCCTAATAAAATATATTGATTTCTACTTTCCCATTCGTACAATAATTCTGCGTTAAAATTCTATTCTAATATTATAAAATAGTGTAATACAATCTATACTATATATAAAAACAAAATCCTGAAATTTTAACTTACCGCCCAATTCCTAATAAATCTCTTTTCCTAATAAAATATATTGATTTCTACTTTCTCATTCGTACAATCATTCTGCGTTACAATACTATTCTAATATTATAAAATAGTGTAATACAATCTATACTATATATAAAAACAAAATCCTGAAATTTTAACTTACCGCCCAATTTCTAAAATATCTCTCTTCCTAATTAAATATATTGATTTCTACTTTCCCATTCGTACAATAATTCTGTGCTACAATTCTATTCTAATATTATAAAATAGTGTAATACAATCTATACTATATATAAAAACAAAATCCTGAAATTTTAACTTACCGCCCAATTCCTAATAAATCTCTTTTCCTAATAAAATATATTGATTTCTACTTTCCCATTCGTACATTCATTCTGCGTTACAATTCTATTCTAATATTATAAAATAGTGTAATACAATCTATACTATATATAAAAACAAAATCCTGAAATTTTAACTTACCGCCCAATTTCTAAAATATCTCTCTTCCTAATTAAATATATTGATTTCTACTTTCCCATTCGTACAATAATTCTGTGCTACAATTCTATTCTAATATTATAAAATAGTGTAATACAATCTATACTATATATAAAAACAAAATCCTGAAATTTTAACTTCCCGTCCAATTCCTAAAAAATCTCTCTTCCTAATAAAATATATTGATTTCTACTTTCCCATTCGTACAATAATTCTGCGTTACAATTCTATTCTAATATTATAAAATAGTGTAATACAATCTATACTATATATAAAAACAAAATCCTGAAATGTTAACTCCCTGCCCATTTCCTAAAAAGTCTCTCTTCCTAATAAAATATATTGATTTCTACTTTTCCATTCGTACAGTAGTTATGCGTTACAATTCTATTATAATATTATAAAATAGTGTAATACAATCTATACTATATATAAAAACAAAATCCTGAAATTTTAACTTCCCGCCCAATTCCTAAAAAGTCTCTCTTCCTAATAAAATATATTGATTTCTACTTTCCCATTCGTACAATAATTCTGCGTTAAAATTCTATTCTAATATTATAAAATAGTGTAATACAATCTATACTATATATAAAAACAAAGTCCTGAAATTTTAACTTCCCGCCCAATTCCTAATAAATCTCTCATCCTAATAAAATATATTGATTTCTACTTTCCCATTCGTACAATAATTCTGCGTTACAATTCTATTCTAATATTATAAAATAGTGTAATACAATCTATACTATATATAAAAACAAAGTCCTGAAATTTTAACTTCCCGCCCAATTCCTAAAAAATATCTCTTCCTAATAAAATATATTGATTTCTACTTTCCCATTCGTACAATAATTCTGCGTTAAAATTCTATTCTAATATTATAAAATAGTGTAATACAATCTATACTAT